CTTAGGGACTAGGTAAGCCTAACAATAATTAAAACAACAACATTATTTAAATAGAATCTCTTACAATTCCCAAAATCGGTAGTACAAGTCATAAGCTCTACAGAGTGTTTGCTAGAAAACTTCTAAATACAACTGTCCAGAAATAAGAATAAACAGTGCAAAACAAAAACTGGAAGGTGACTCCGAAGCCTGCGAACGCAGCAGCAAGTTTACCTTGAGTCTCCACAGCAACAGTCCACACAGATAGCTAACGAACAAATACCTAGATCTGCACAAAAATATGCAGAAGAGTAGCATGAGCACACCACAGTGGTGCCCAGTAAGTATCAAGACTAACCTCGATGGAGTAGTGACGAGGAACAGTCAAGACACCCACTGGTCTAATAAACCGAACATATATAAGTACATGAATAACAAAATTATGATGTCTACATGAAGACTATGCAATATGGCTCACAATACAGTAATGGAATTAAAGCAAGAAACAACAAGTATCATCGGAATATCATGAAAATGACGCAGACAAAGTGAATGGAACACAACCTAAATCCGGGATCACGAATACAGCAAGGACAAGTAATAACTCAGTAAGTGCAACCGCTTTTACCTCAGGTTTTAGTCAACAACTCCACGAGGTACCGAACCTCGGACAATTCACAACTTACGGGTCTCAATACCTGAACCCTAACACTTGGCATCCTGTGCCCTCATGACACCTCATAACCACACCGACGACTCACGTGCCAATAGAATCATTCTCACATAGAAGACAAGTAAACAAGGGTGAACATCTATACTCAACAATATCAAGAACACCTCTTATCCGATAAGAGTGCTTAACTACATGTATGCTTGTGCAAGTATCCTAACATAGTCCATACTAGCAAATAAGCATAAGGAAGAGGAAGAACGGACAACACGTAGAATATTTTCTCACAGCTTTCACAAGATAAAGCTCACACAGGTACGTATACCACTACACAAAAATCAACAACAAGAATGCCCACAGGCCATAAATCATCACAAATCAATCCCTAACACATTCCACCTTGTCTCGCCATGTGTGTAATAGTAACATAAATGCCCGCCTTGTCTCGCCACACGTGCATAATAATGTTCCCACCTTGTCTCGCCACATGCGCAACCCATACATATATATATCCCACCTTATCACACCGCATGTGCAAATATCAATAGTAACAATAGCACGGCAGAAAGCTCGTGCAACCCCATAACAACAACTGCACGGCAGAAACCTCGTGCATCACAATAATAACAACCGCACGGCAGAAACCTCATGCATCACCACAACAAATACAACAACAACAATGACAATAATACAAAATACGACAAGTAAATCAACTCAAGAACTTTAATTCACAAAGACACGGTAGAACCAATTCACGAGGAATAACCACAGTAAATAATGTTAGGCGTAAAGAGAACAGCTCAACAAAGGGAAACTAATGTGTATCAACGATTCCACAATATACATTTCAACAACGGGAAAACTAACATGAGTCAAATAATTCCAAATAAAACAAGTCGACTAAGATATAGGATATCTAAAAAAATTTTTAAGGTTGAGAAATTACTAAGGATTTTCAACAATTTAATTAAGGATAAGCAGCGGAAAGATAATCATAACCTCAATTAAGACTGAACAATTATAGAATGAAATAATATAAATTTCAAATAAAGATAAGCAGTTATGAAAAGATAGCGTGGCTATAAAAGAGATAGCAGTTTCAATTAAGGCACATATGAATCAAGTAACGGTAATAGTTGATCATGAAGCAATTTATTTTAATTAAGCAGGTAGATGTGAATCTAGAAATTAAGGTATATAATCATAACAAGAACAACTGCAAATCCAATGAATACAAGGACCTAAGAACCCTAAAAGGCCAACTTTTCACAAATAAGTCCGTGCACGCACTCGTCACCTCGTGCACACGGGCTACAATCAACATAGAAGACTCAAATCCTAAGAGAAAAATTCCCCCACACAAGGTTAGGCCAGATACTTACCTCGAACCAAGCTCAAACAGTCCATAAGAATGCCCTTTCCTCAATTATCCGACTATGAATGGTTCAAATCTGACCAAACACAATTGCATATCATGAATACAACGATAATAGACTCATCTAATTAATGAATTCAATATTTTAGCAAAAAATCCGAAATTTGCCCTAAAATGTCGACCCGGGCCCACGTCTCGAAATCGGGTAAAAGTCATAAAATACGAACACCCATTCCCTCACGAGTTCACTCGTACCAAAATTATCCAAATCCGATATGTAAATCCCAATCAAAACTCAAAACTCTTAGTTGAAGAACTTCTTCCCATTTTTCCTAAATTTTCAATCCAAACCCAAAACTAAATGGAGAAAACAACTATAGATTAATGGAATACAACCAAAAATGAGTTAGGAATCATTACCCCAAAGTTTTCTCTGAAAATCCCTCAAACATTTGCCAAATTTCGAGCTCTCAAGTCCAAAAACGAAGAATGAAACCAAACCCTCGGATTTCTCTTTTCTGCCCAGGCGTGACCGCACCTGCGCATAATTAGCCGCATCTACGCAATCGCAGGTGCGCACGTCCAAACCGCACATGCGCTTCCTCTCGCTTCTGCGCGCCAAAATCCGCTTTTGCGAAGCCGCTGATGTGCACAAATTCTCCGCACCTGCGGAGACTGTCAAGTTTAGCTCTTCTCGCACCTTTGCCTCAACCTTCGCATCTGCGGGGAATTTTCCTCGCACCTGTGACCCCTGGCACTCCTCCACTTTTCCGCTTCTGCACTTGCCTCTCCGCACGTGCGCTCTCGCACCTGCGGTCTCTTCTTCGCAGGTGCAAAAATACCAGAAGCCTGAAGACTTAGCAGTAACACAAATAAAACTTTTAATCCGTTAAGCACCCGAAACTCACCCGCGGCCCCCGGGACCTCAACTAAACATACTAACCAATCCTAATACACCATACGAACTTAATCGAGCCCTCAAGTCACATTAAACAACGTCGAAACTACGAATCGTACCATGAATCAAACTTATAAATTTTAAATCTTTCAACTTCTAAAACCCGCGCCGAAACCTATCAAATCAACCCGGAATAACGTCAAATTTTGCAGACAAGTCCCAAATAACATAACAGAGCTATTTCAACTTTCGGAATCGCATTCCGGCCCCGATATCAAAATGTCCACTTTCAGTCCAAATCTCCAAAAATTCGACTTTCGCCATTTCAAGCCTAAAATCAGCTACAGACCTCGGATTTATAGTTCGGATACGCTCCTAAGTCCAAAATCACCCAACGGAGCTAATGGAACCGACAGAATTCTATTCCATAGTCGTCTTCACATAGTTCCGACTACAGTCAAAATTCTAAGACTTAAGCTTTTGTTTTAGGGACTAAGTGTCCCAAATTACTCCGAAATAACCGGTAATTAAATTCAATCACGCACGCAAGTCAATACACATAATATGAAGCTGATCAGGGCCTTATGCCGCCGAACGAGACTTAAATTCTCAAAACGACCGGCCGAGTCGTTACATCATATCTTTCCATCAGGCCAGTCCACAATTCAGTGAATCTTTCACTGTCAAATATTCAACCTTCAAGCCTGCATCCAAATGATGACGAAGGAAAATCATGGCCTTCGCTTTGTCCTAGCTTGATGCCTCATTACCCTGAGTAATGGTATCACCAAAGCCTTTAGCGGCTAAGTGAATCTCAGCATCGAGAATCATGATAGGTAATTCTTTTCAGAAATATCAATTGCCACAAACTCAAGCTTTGACAAATTCGACATGGTGAAAACTATCAAAGAAGATAAATAATTAGAAATCATTAGGATAATAGCGTAAAGAAAAGATTGACATAATATCAAATTTGTGATCTATATACACTAAAGTGATAATTCCATAGAAGATAATACTATTTTTTTTTCAAAGTATTAGTATATTATTTATGTTAACTAGAACAAAAATATCTTCTAACTTTAACACAATTTCAACTTCCTAACAACATAAAACAAGTATTCTTATCTCAATTAATTCTATTAACATGAAACTTAGTAACTTTCACGTAACAATCATGCAAACAACCTAAAATAAAGAAACATGAAAATCTTTATTTTTACACATGTCCAGTGATGTAAGAAATTATAAAACTTCATATTAAAGCCACTAATCATGAAATCAAAATATACAACAAAGAAAACAAAAGGAACATATATACTTGAACAATGAAAAGATCTCAATTTCGTGCTCATAACGTATTAAGAAATGTAGCTCAAAAAAATAATATAAAACAAGAAAATAAGTAATAGAATAAGAGAAGAAGAGATAACTTTCTTATTTTATCAAGTGTTCAAGTATGCCTCATATCACATTTCATGCCTCTATTTATACTATTATATAGAAGGTTATAAAATGATTATCTTAAACATGACATTAATAATTGAGATCATGGGGAGGGGTTATGAAGGTGTGCGAGTTACAATCATAATAGTAATGAGTAGTGAGAGGTTATTTACATCATGAGTGAAGTAGTGAGAGTAGTGGACATCCACATTTACTAATAGTTTTACAACAAGTATAATATTCCAGCGAAGGGGATTCGAACATCCTTCTGTTCCCCTAAATTTACCCCTGGCCTCAAGGATCCACATGCACTTTAAGAAATAATTTAAACTGTAAAATTAAAAAGGAAAAAAGTCGATGAAAATCGATTAATAAGAAAGAAAGAGAAACAAAGAAACTGGAATTTGATTGTGTTTACACGAAGAGGAAAAAGGGTCTAAGATAGGTATTAGGACCATAAGTGCACACTTTGTCAAAGAATGCAGGTCATCAGTGTTCAATGTGAAACAAATGGGATTATTTTGAATCTAAGTCCAAAATAATGAACTATTATGAAGTTTTTCGAATAAAAAATCTAAATTTAGAAGTTTCTAAACAAAGCTAATAGAAGTATCTAGAACACCCGCTTCACAGGTCCGCTAGTAAACCACAGCAGTAGCAATAATTGAAGCAAATCCCTATTTCAAATCCCTCAAATTCCTACTTATTGAATCCGATCGTTCTTCTCAATTTGTATCAATTCAAAGAACAAAATATAGGGTAACGAAAAAGCTATGGACGCAACAAAGTTGAATAAACTGAAGCAATTCGTTGAACAGTGCAAGTCCGATCCTTCACTTCTCTCCGATCCTCCCCTTTCCTTTTTCCGTGATTACGTTGAAAGGTACCCTATTTCACCTCATTAAATAAATAATTTTCATGGCTCGAACCCGTGACATATAGATTATGATAAGGGTAACTCTACTGTTTGGTATAAGGGTTTCAAACGACATTTCGTAAGCAAATTTAAGTATATAAATGTATTATTACTACTCAGCATACTGTTGTTCTGGTGTTTGCTGAGTGATTCTCAGATGGATTTATTTGTTTGATTTTTTTTGGCAGTCTTGGTGGTAATATTCCTCCGGCTGGAGAATACAAAGCGGTATTTACCCTAAATCAGTAAATGTTATGGCATTGTATATTTTGTTCTTTTGGATATATTTATGGTTCCACGGTAACATAGGTGGATCTAGGATACAAACTCTATGATTTCAACTTTTTAAGGTTCTTAGCATTGTATTATTAGAAATGGTCGGTTCATATCTATTACTTGTTACAGTTTTAGTAGATTTCTACACATAAATTTATGCGTCGCAAAAGTACGTAGTTCAGATGAATCCGATGTCGCCACACTAGATCCGTCTTTGCCTGGTAATCGCCACGAGAGTAAATATGTTGTGTCTGGTAAACCCTCGGGCTTTGATTTAGTGGTAAGAAAGCACCACATGATGTGTGGTTTAGAATACGTCACGTGTTCGAACCCTGTGGCGAAAGCGTGATATTTAAGTGGAGAAGGAAAGAGGGGTGGATCCATTATTCGTCGAGTTTTGAACCATGTGCCACGGGTTCTCGAGGATTTCTTCGTTATAAAAAATATACATGCTACATTTGGTTACTTGAATCCTCAAGACCATCTTGGATTTCATAATTAGCAGGAAATGATACGCGAAATCCTTTCCTTGTTTAAATAGGGAAACAAAATACTTCAATGTCCTTATATTTGTTTAAATAGGGACGATAAGACTTCCAAGTTCAAGTCATGAAATAGGGATATACAAGATGACTGGCCGTAATATGTGGGATACGTATTGTTTGAAAAGGTAACCTACACTCTTTATTTTATCCAAGCAGTTATTTGTTTTCTCGTGAGCTTCACATAGCCATTGAATACTTCCACGTGAATGGTGTTTTCGAGAGAAGTATCAATGCTTCTTTTATTACTATTGTGCCTAAGAAAGAAGGTGCATCTTGTAATAGAGATTACAGGCCTATTAGTCTCGTGGGGAGCATTTACAAGGTTATTTCTAAAGTGCTGTCCAACAGGCTCAAGAAGGTTCTTGACGTGTCTATTTCGTCCTCCCAGAATGCATTTGTGGAAGGTAGGCAGATCCTGGACGCTGCTTTGGTGGCAAATGAACTTGTAGACTCCAGAAGGAAAAATAGAGAACCCGACTTACTGTGCAAGTTGGATCTTGAGAAGGCTTTCGACCATGTCAATTGGGAGTTCCTGGATTTCATTATGATGCGGATGGGGTTTGGGGTAAGATGGAGGGGATGGATCGAGTTCTGCATTTCCTCGGTCAGATTCTCTGTCCTGGTTAATGGTAGCCCATGTGGTTTCTTTGGAAGCTCCAGGGGTCTCAGGCAAGGTGATCCCATATCCCCCATGCTATTCATTCTAGTGATAAATGCTCTGAGTAAAGGCGTGGAAATTCGCCCCGTTAGCTCTCATGTGGGTAGTATGGGGGGAGAGAAATAGGAGAGTTTTTGAGGAGATTGAGTCTCCTTTTTCACATCTTAAGAATAGTTTTTTTACCTTTGATCGCTTTTTGGTGCACTCATTTAGCCCCTACTTGTATAGAAGATTGGGCGTCTTTTGTAGAGAATCATGTTCTGATGTAAATTCTCTACGTCTTTGGTATACTTCGTGTACACGGGAGTTCTCTCCCTTTTGATTAATACAATTTACCTTATCAAAAAAATAAATGCTCTGAGTAAAATGATGGAACGTGCGGCGGGCGGAGGCTTCTTGAGAGGATTCTCAGCTCCGATCGGGTACTCAGTGCCCGAAGAGTCTCATTTGTTTTTTGCGGATGACACCCTGGTTTTCTGTGATGCCGATATGGATCAGTTGACCTACCTGAAGCAGGTCCTGCAGTAGTTTCAGATAGTATCAAGACTCAAAATCAACCTCGGTAAGTGTGAGATTTTTCCGGTGAGTGAGGTTGCTAACATTGATGCTTTGTCTCATGTTCTCAGATGTAAGGTGGGTTCTCTTCCCACTACTTACCTGAGTCTCCCATTGGGCGCTTCCCATAAGGATATTACAGTTTGGAATCCAGTGATTGAAAGGGTTGAAAAAAGATTAGCAGGCTGGCAGAAACGGTACTTGTCAAAAGGCGGTAAGAAAATGCTTATTAAAAGCACTTTATCGAGTATGCCCATCTATTACTTGTCCCTGTTGCAAGCTCCTGTGAGCATCACAGAAAAACTGGAGCGACTTCAAAGGAATTTTCTTTGGGATGCGGCGGATGGAACTAGAAAGTTTCATCTATTGAATTGGTAGACAGTCACTTCCCCAAAGAAGTGGGGTAGACTTGGAGTAAAAGATCTTAGGGTATTCAACAAAGCTTTGTTGGGGAATTGGCTGTATAGATTTGGGGTAAAAGAGCATGCTCTATGGAGGGAGGTCATAATAGAAAAGTACGATTTCACGGGAGGAGGTTGGAGGACCAAGGCAATTACAACACCTTTCGGGTGTGGCATGTGGAGGAGCATCATGAAGAATTGGGAAGGCTTCAATGGCAACATCATTTACAAGGTGTGAGATGGAAGGAGAATCAACTTTTGGAATCACAGGTGGTGTGGAGAGGATACTCTGAGGGTCTCTTTCCCCACGTCTTCTGCGTTTCAAACTAGAAGGAATCGATGGTCCAACAGATTCGCAAGGAGCATGAACGAGGGTAGTATGGGACCTCTCATTTAGAAGGAACATGCATGATTGGGAGATTGCGGAGCTCCAAGATTTGTTGGCACTGCTGTATGGGCAAGACAGGCCCCAACCATCTTGTGATTCTTGGAGATGGGGGTTACGTGACGATGGTTTGTTCACCGTAAAGTCATTTTACCAGAGTATGTTGGTGAGAGAGGAGGCTACGTTTCCATACTCCTCGATCTGGATTCCTAAGGCGCCCACGGAGGTGTGCTTTTTTGCATGGCTGGCGGCGAAGGGAGTGATTTTAACTGCTGAAAATATGCGAAAGAGAGGAATTGCACTTGTTAGTTTGTGCTATATGTGTAAAAGCTCAGGGGAAGAAGTTGATCATCTTTTGTTGCATTGTATTGTGTCCTCGGGTTTGTGGAGGGAAATCCTGAATCTTTTTGGTGTTCAATGGGTGATGCCAAGCACGGTAAAGGAAATGGTATATAGCTGGGCCGGTTTCCGTAGAAGAAGCAAGCAAAAGGCATGGAAGTTCGCCCCGTTAGTTCTCATGTGGATAGTTTGGGGGAGAGAAATAGGAGAGCTTTTGAGGGGATTGAGTCTCCTTTTTCACATCTTAAGAATAGTCTTTTATCTTTGATCGCTTTTTGGTGCACTCATATAGCCCCTACTTGTGTAGAAGATTGGGCGTCTTTTGTAGAGAATCATGTTTTGATGTAAATTCTCTACTTTTTGGTATACTTCTTGTATATGGGAGTTTTTGCTCCCTTTTGATTAATACAATTTACCTTATAAAAAAAAATAGTCCTAATGTCATGTGTATACAAATATCAAAGCAGAATGGATATAGAGGATTCATATAACGGGCTTCAACGAGTCTGGAATAGGGATGTAATTGATAGAGTTATCGGGCTTCTATACTCCTTCTATATCCATCCATTTTGCATTCGTTTAAGACCTTAATAAGGAGGATCTTTTTAGATCCATGGTCTAAAATAATTTGTGGTGCACGCAGAGAAAACAAATGCTTTTCTATGAATTCCAATTGTCTAAAACGTTGTGCACTATTTTGTTGTGCAGAAGTCTCATGTGGTGGCTGAGAGTGATGAAGAAATGGGTGATCTTGAGAATGAGACTCATAAAACAGGGGCTGCTGAAGAGGAAGAGGAGCCTGAGATAATTGAATCTGATGTTGAACTGGATGAGAGTGACGCTGTGGACCCTGACAATGATGAGCCACAACAGGTCTGGCTAACTGACATTACCCTTTTGCTTTTTTGCTATGGTTCATGTTTACATTGAAACAGTAAAATGAACTTTTCAAGTTTAATCTTCTAGATGGGAGACCCCTCTGTGGAGGTTACTGAGGAAAGCCGTGATGCCTCTCAAGAGGCCAAATCTCAGGCCATGGAAGCAATTTCTGAAGGTGATGCTGATTGATTTGTAGACCTTCGCACTTTCAGCGTGTATTATTCAGTTGGCGTTGCATTACTCATGTTTGTTGCTTGTTGTTGATAGGTAAGCTAGAAGAAGCAAGTGAACTTTTGACAAAGGCAATTCTCCTCAACCCTACTTCAGCAATTATGTATGCTACCAGAGGTACAGTTTGCCATATGCTTCTCGACTTGGATAATATTTTTGCTGGTTTCATGTTATTTCATTATTCATTCGCATTCATTGAGTGACAATGTGAAAGTCTTGATGTTAACAGCCACAGTGTACATCAAAATGAAGAAACCAAATGCAGCCATACGAGATGCAACTGCAGCCTTAGAGGTTGATCTTACCACTTGATTTGCTTGCCAAGAATCTGATTCTGGTCTTTATTTTTTTATTTTTTGTCTATTCCAAATATCCGCATTGAGTGATTATTACTACTCATAAAGCCTTTATGAGGAAGTATCCGGAAGGCCTCAGCAGGTATATACTTGTCATATGCTTTTCATGCTTGGGGAACAGATGGATCATTACATGCATAGTAGTCAACTTTGTGCATTTAATGCATTATTTCTCATTCAATTGCTATTACAGATCAACCCAGATTCAGCTAAAGGATATAAATCACGTGGCATTGCACGAGCCATGCTTGGACAATGGGGCGAAGCAGCCAAGGATCTTCATGTGGCCTCCAAGCTAGACTATGATGAGGAAATAAGTGTTGTGCTTAAGAAGGTTGTGTCCAGTGATATAATGTCAATTATATAATGTCTTATTATATGGATGCTAGTGTTCCTAAGCTTTTTATGTTGTGTGCATCATGATAATTGTCAAGTGATTTAATTACATATATATGTGTCGCAGATTGAGCCTAATGCATGTAAAATTGAAGAGCACCACAAGAAGTATGAAAGGCTGCGTAAGGAACGAGAAGATAGAAAGATTGAGCGTGAGAGACTATGAAGAAAGGCTGAAGCTCAGGTGAGGTTTGAAAGGCTGCATAAGGAACGAGAAGATAGAAAGATTGAGCGTGAGAAACTACGAAGAAAAAAGGCTGAAGCTCAGGTGAAACCTCAGTTACTTGTTTGCTTACATATTGGGCTTTTTAACTTCTCTGAACTCTCTTGTGATTTATATCTCAGGCTGCTTATGAAAAGGCCAAGAAGCAAGAATCATCATCATCAAGGAGAGCTGGTGGCATGCCCGGAGGCATGCCCGGGGGCTTCCCTGGTCGCATGCCCTGGGACGACTTCCCTGGTCGCATGCCTTGGGACGACTTCCCTGGTCGCATGCCCGGAGGCAGGAATGCCTGGAAATATTGAATGTAAGTAGCTGTATTTGTATACATTCACTTGTGATGCTTATACCATTAATTATGATGAATAAGTGTTAGAGTTAGTTTGCTGAGGATTGTTATCACTTATCAGAAAGTTTTTTCATTACTATGTAAACTGAGGAGTCATCTGTTCACATTTTTTTTTTTCTATCAATGAAGTTAAAACAATCTTTATGTTTTTTACTTGACCAGGACCCTGAACTAATGGCTGCATTCCAGGACCCAGAAGTCATGGCTGCGCTACAAGATAGTCATTTCCTTTGATCATAATCCATTCATTTTCTTTATTCTAGTACATGGATTTCTTAGATAATGTGTATGTGTGTGTGCGTGTGTATATAAAAAGAAGATTATCAATTGTGCAAGATCCATAATCATGGTTTTGTAATTAATGTCCCAACGCCTTAAAGTGCAAAGAATGTCATCCTATTAGTTTGGTGTGATTGACTGACCTTCTATATAGTATATATTACACTGTTACCCAATTAATCACCTCTTATTTTGAAGTATATCAAAATAATTACTTTTTTAAAAGCGAAGCTTCTGCCATCGGAGCATGCACTGTACTTTAAATTATATAAACTATATAATACCTTGGATCCGTATTACCATTCTCAGGATCATTTTACCCTATTCTCCTACTTACTACGAAAGAATTTTATAAAGGAGTTGTATACCTTATGCATAAGAATCGTTGCTCTATGTGGTTCTGTTTAATTGTTATGTTCTGCAACTTTTTATCTTGTGCATCTTTCATTTCGTCCGAGGTATGATGGAGCATTTTCCTATCCTTCTCCATTTAGGAGAGTCTATTCAGATTCTTTTTTTGGCTTACCCAAAGAACCCCATCTAGAATCTCTCATATCTTGAAATTGTGTCTTTACGAAACCAACAAGTTTCATAGCACTAATAATATCTTGATCTTTTTTTGTAAAGCCATATTCAAATCATATGTAATTGCCAACACTTTCAACATTAAATGTAACATATACACAAACTCATAAGATCTTATGTCATCCACTAGACTTTTTGCCATTGATCTCATGATAATTTGAACTCTCGATTGCAAGAAATCCAAGTACATGAATAATTGATGAGAATAAACTAATAAAATTATGCACTGTCTTAAAATGAGAACCACAACAAGTATTACCTACCCTTTGAAGTCCAAGTTCTTGATTTAAATCGCTTCCTGTATGAACTTCACCGAGGACTAGTAGTTCCTCTAATTTTTCTGCTTGATCATCTTGAAACATCTCCCTACGCTTAAAAGAAACCCCAACAATATTTAAAACATTTGCAAGAATATCAAAAAATTATTCTGTCTCATAATATTTTTTTGCAACAACAACAAGAGTCAATTGCAGTTGATGAGCAAAACAATGTATGGAATATGCCGAAGGAGTATCATTCATAATCAAAGTTTTAAGACCATTAATTTCTCCCTGCATGTTACTAGCTCCATCATCTTGAAGCATCTCCCTACGCTTAAAAGAACCCCCAACAATATTTAAAACATTTGGAAGAATATCAAAAAATTATTCTGTCTCATAATGTTTTTTTGCAACAGCAACAAGAGTCAATTGCAGTTGATGAGCAAAACAATGTATGGAATATGCCGAAGGAGTATCATTCATAATCAAAGTTTTAAGACCATTAATTTCTCCCTACATGTTAAGCTCCATCATAACCTTGTCCCCGTATTTGAAATTTACTCAATGAATGTTCCAAAAGCAAAGAACATATTGCTTCTTTTAATGACTTTGTGGATGTATCTTTAACATGAACAATACTAAGGAATCGCTCAATAACTTTACCCTCTTTGTTGACATAACGCAAAACAAGCGCCATTTGTTCATCATGAGAGACATCCTTAAACTCATCAACCAATATCCCAAAGTAATCCCCGTTTAAGTCTTCAATAATTGCTTTCAATATTTCTTTCACACAAGAACACACAATGTCTTTTTGTATACTTGGACAAATCATGATATCATTTTTGGGAGCATTTTCTAACACAACTTTCTTTACATCATCCTTCTTATCCGCATACCACTTTAAGAGATCTAAGAAGTTGCCTCTTCTTGTAGAATTTTCACGCTCATCGTGACCCCGAAAAGGCATTCCTTATTTCAAAAGATACCTTGCAACATCAATTGAGGCATTCAAGCGAACCCGATACTCACTTTTAGTTTTCTCGGACTGCTTGTCAAAAGATGTTAGAATAGATTGTGATTGATTCGATAAATCTAGCATCATCTTGAAACACCGATTATGAACACTATTCACTTCACCTACATGTGCGTTAAGCCTTTCTATACCTTTATTCCAAGCCCTAAAACCATCTTTTGTAAAAGAATCACTTACTTTTTTCCCATATCCTCCAATATCATTTTTAAACAAGTAACAACATAAGCAAAACGATGCATCTTCTTTAATACTGTATTCTAACCATCCAGAATATGAAGTTTTAAACCATTCCGGATTAAAGTGATGCAATTTTCCACCAAAATTTGTTTTTGGAAAAATAAAATTACGAGGCCGACAAGGCCCTCTTTGAATATAATGTCTTCTCACTCGGTCGCGTAGATTAGGAGGATATTTTGAAATTTATTTTCTTTCACCAGGATCAGGGTTAGGAAGATACAAATCTAACATAATATCTGTGTGTGATGATTGGGAAGAATTGACATTGTCATTAACCACTGGACATGAATGAGAGTTTAGCGAAGGGGAACTAGAAGTAGAACCTGAAGAGGTTTGCGGCTTGAAAATCTCTTGATCATCTCGACTCACTAAAATTCCCTACAAATCATAAGATACAAAGTAAATATTACAGTAAAGAATTTTTTCCAAAAGATCACTTTACAAAGAATACTCCAAGGAGACGAGAGAATCAATAAACACCTCAACAAAAGAAAGATTCTAATGCGATTCTACTTCTTGTTTATTAATTTTTTCTTAAAAAATAAGATCTAGACCCAACTTCATAAGTTAAAATAAAATATTAAAATTTACAAAAGCTAAAAATAATAATAAAAATTAAAGTAGATGGTACTAGTCCCAAATCCAACGAATATTAATACACGACTTTTAGAAGAAGTGATCATAACAATGGTTACAAAAAGTTAAGAGCTATTTTTTCACATAATATAATATAGTAAAAAAATAATTATTAAAAAAAATTGAAAGAGTGAGAAGACCTGCAATGGATGGCAGGAATGCAGGATCACTGATTTTGTCTTTGATATGCAACAAAAGAAGAAGCCAAGATTCAAGAAGCAAGAATGAAGAATAGTGACTGTAATTCTCGTCTAAAACCCTAAAATTTGGGTATTTGATACAAAATAACTTTTGGGAAGATTTTGATTTGGTTGTTTCTTTTAGGTTGTCTTTAGCCATTTATTATTATTATTTTATTTTTAAAAAGTAGATTAAAGGGAAAGTAGTACTAACCTGATAGGGACCTTAGTGTATTGTGGTCCTGTCTGGTACCTTTTTATTTTTTTATTTTTTCTAGTTCATATAAAGTATTGCTCAAAAAATAAAAAAATAAATAAAATAACCTTACCTTACGGGGATTCGAACTCACATTAACAGGCTATGGGACACGAGCCATACCTGGGTTCCCCGATTTACCACTGAACCAACAGTACATTTTAGGACTGGGTTCCTATATAATTATTCTTATACATTCAATGAATTTTTTAATACAAATGCAAGGTCCAGGAAAAAGCTACTGGGTTCCCGGGAACCCATACCTATAACTGTAGATCCGCCCCTGACCAAGTGGCAATGTTCTATTAGCTAGTACAAAATTGTACATAAAATAAATACATGGATGGGAAAAATAATTAAATACAGAGCTACCATGTGTTGTGCACTGTGTGAATAATAAAGCTGAAAAATGTAGGCCCATAAGTGGGCTGGGGCAAGCAGTCAAGTAGGCCCAATACATTCTGCATTGATGGCCCAATAAACATGCCCATAACTGATGGCCTCATATGTGTGTGTGTTCGGATCTGATAAATCAGATCTTAATCAAACCTTTCATCTTCTCAAACAACCCTCTTTCATCTTCTTTCATCTTCTTTGACTCCAACACCCCCTTTCAAGTTGGAGGGGGTCGAAAACACACCCAACTTGCCCAAAATACTACGATGAAGAGGTCCTGTGAGTGGTTTTGTGAAGAGATCTGCCAACTGGGCAGAAGATCGAACAAATGATAACGAAATCAGCCCAGCTAGGTATTGTTCGCGCACAAAATGACAGTCGATTTCAACATGATTCGTCCGTTCGTGAAAAACGGGGTTTTTTGCTATGTAAAATGCTTCTTGGCTGTCGAAGTGAAGAGTGACTGGAAGGTCAATAGGAATTGAGAGATCCTCAAAGAGACGAACCAACCATGTAAGCTCAGCAACTACGCGTCGCATTCTGTATTCTGCCTCTGCCGAACTGAGTGAGATGGAAGTTTGCTTCTTGGATTTCCAAGAGATCGGAAAGGTACCAAGGGAAATATATATACCACTCACTGATTTCCTTGAGTCCGGGCAGGTGGCCCAATCGGAGTCACAAAAGGCTAGGATCTTGAATGAGGAGGAAGAAGACATAAAAAGTCCAAGCCCGGGATCTTTGAGCAGATAGCGAAGCACACATAATGTTGCTTCTAGGTGTGGCTGTCGTGGGTCCTGCATGTACCGGCTGAGGTGCTGGACAGTGAAGGATAAGTCTAGGCGGGTGTTAGTGAGGTAGTTGAGTTTGCCAAGTAGATGGCGATACAAGGTGGGATCCTTCACTGGTTCCCCTGTGTGAGTAGACAAACGAGTATATGGATCGAGTAGAGAAGAAACAGATGACAAATGGAGGGATTTAAATTCACGGAGAAGGTCTAAAGTGAATTTGCGCTGAGAAAGGATGAGTCCATCTTTTTCTCGGATAACTTCCATCCCTAGAAAAAAATGTAAGTCCCCAAGATCTTTAATTTTGAATTCTTGATTGAGAAATTCTTTCAACGCATGCAATTCTACATTGTCATTTCCTGTCAAGAGTATATCATCTACATAGATATCCACTATAGAAATGGAAGAATTTAACCTTTTAAAGAACAAATAATAGTCGTTTAATGAGTGAGTGAATCCCTTAAAGTTCAAAGCAGTGGTAAGTTTAGCATACCACTATCGAGATGCTTGTCATAGCCCATAAATCGATTTCTTTAACTTGTATGCATGAGTGGGTGAAGGAGGTGCAACCCTAGGTGGAAATTTCATGTACACTTCTTCATTTATATCTCCATGTAGGAAAGCATTATTCACATCAAGCTGGTATAAACCCCATCATTTCTTTACTGCAGTGACCAGTATGCATCTGATTGTGGTCATCTTTATCACAGGTGAAAAAGTTTCATTGAAGTCTATTCCCTCTTTCTGTATGTCTCCTCTAATGACCAATCTTGCCTTTAATCTTACCATACTGCCATTTGAATGTTGTTTAACCTTATACACCCATTTGCATGTTAAAGCTTTCCTCCTAGGTGGTAACTCAACTATTTCCCAAGTCTTATTAAGTTCAAGTGCCTCAATCTCTTTGTCCATTGCTTCTTGCCACCCTGGGTGATGTGTTGCCTGTAAATAGTTGGTAGGTTCTTGTAGATTGGACAATGTGTTTAGCATATGTTGATTTGTAGAAGATAGTCCACTGAAATATATACAAATGGGTGTAATAGGTGTGAGAAAGCAAGAGTTGCTAATATCTGTGAGTTGGAGTACATTACAGATATAGTCCTTGAGATAAGATGGAGTTGTGTGTGGTCTGTTAGACTTCCTAACAAGAACATCCATCATAGGATCAGAATCCAAAGAAGAAAAAACTAGTGTAGATGTATGTGATTGACTAGATGATACTGGAGAATCTGGAGACAACCTAGAAGAAGAGATAGAGGGAATAGGTGTGCTAGGATGAATTGAAGAATGGGAGAGGAATAGAGATCAATTGATGATTCAGTAGGCTCTTGGGAAGGTTCATTGTGAGGTCTGCTAGCAGAAGGTGAAGTTTAAGGAGTCTGGTTACTTACAGTAACTTCAACAGTGGGTAAAGAAATATAATTAGAAGTATAGGACTTAATAGAAGCAAATGGAAAGAATTCTTCATGAAATACAACATCTCTGGAAATGAAAGGCTTTAAATTCTTGAGGTTCAAGACTTTTTAACCCTTCTTTCCATGAGAATAACCTAAGAACACACAAGGAGTAGCCCTTGGTTCAAACTTAGTTCTATGATTTGAAAGAGTGGAAGCAAAACATAAGCATCCAAAGCATCTAAGGTTAGAGTAATTTGGCTTGCTTGAAAAAAGAACTTCATAAGGGGTCTTAAGCTTTAAGACACTTGAAGGAAATCTGTTGATCAAATAGATTGTTGTAAGAAGACAGTCACCCCAGTATGATATAGGTAGGTGTGATTGGTATAACAAGGCTCTCGATATCTCTAAAAGATGCATGTGCTTTCTCTCCACAATACCATTTTGTTGTGGTATGGACACACAAGTGGTTTGTTGAATAATGCCTTGTGACTGAAAAAATTCTAATTGAATGTTCCCACTTCCCAATTCAAAAGCATTATCTGACCTTATAGTTTTCACCTTGATGTTAAACTGCCTTTCTACCATAGCTAGAAAGCTTTTTAGAATAGTGAATGTATTAGATTTGTTGGTTAGTAGAGAGGTCTATGTGCCTCTACTGAAATCATCACCAATTGTAAGAAAATATTTAAATCTATCATATGTAGCACTATTGTATGGTCCCTAGGTATCCACATGAATTAATTCAAACACTTTCTTGGTAGAACTAGCACTAGAAGAAAAAGGAAGTCCGGATTGCCTTGCCATAGGACAAATAACATATGGAGTGGAGAATTTGGAACACTTGGATATAGAAACTGATGAAACACTTTTCATATTGCTAAGGGGTATATGACCTAATCTGTAGTGCCACAGCTTTTCCTTTATAATTGAATCAAAAAAACTAAAACCTGAATGTAAAACATGATTGGAAACAGAATTTCTTCTTGGAATGAAAACTCTTCAAAACTTAGGGAAACTTCTAGACACTGCAGCAGTGTATCTGGATCTGAGAATGTAGAGTCCTCCTTCCTATTTACCAATCTCCAGTGGGCTCTTCATTGAAGGGCCCTACAGAAGGAAATAGAAAAAGGGAGTGAATAAAACATATTGCTTGAATTATCTGCACAACTTATGTACAGACAAAAGATTATATTTAAAAGATGGAATGTAAAGAACATTTTGCAGAATTAGATTAGGCAAAAGAGAAACAGTCCCTAAATGTATGACTTTAACTTTGTAAGAGTTTGGGAGTTTAACCATGAGAGGTTTAGGTAGGGTTTTCAAATTTATGAAAAAATCTTTGTTGAAAGACATGTGTTATGTTGCTCCACTATCCAATATCCAAGATTCATCATTGATTTGAATTGAACAGGCAACATTTTCAAGGAAGTTGATCATACCAGCACAACTCATGTTTGATGCAACATCAGAGGTTCCTGCACTGTTTTGTGCCATTTTTACTTGCTGAAGAAGCTGCAACAGCTTAGCTACAGTTTCCTTGGTAAGGTTCTGAACTCCTGTTGCATTTGTTGTTCCTTGTTCATTTTCCTCATTTGAGAGGAAAGTATTATTTGCTTGGGCACCTACATGAAACCTTTTCTGCCTTGTGAACTTGAAATCAACTGGAAACCCATGAATTCTATAACACTTGTCCATGCTATGTCCAGGTTTCTTGCAATAGGAACAAGTTCCTTCATTCTTCTTAGATTCAAAACTTGTTTTCTGCATATTAAATCTCCTGAAGTTTCTTGGATGATTTATAGCAATGAATGAGGCAGATTCCCTTGAGTATGCAGGGGTAGCATGTATCTCCCTCTGTTTCTCATCTTGAATCACAAGAGAATATGCCTGTCCAATGGAAGGTAAAGGTGATGATAATAAAATGTTGCTCCCAAATTCATAAGATTTCAAAGATTTAGTTGTACTTTCTTTGACAAGAGTAGGTTGCTCTAGTGGTGAGCGCCATCCACTTCCAACTAAGAGGTTGTGAGTTCGAGTCACCTCAAGAGCAAGGTGGGGAGTTCTTGGATGGAGGGAGCCGAGGGTCTATCGGAAACAGTCTCTCTACGTACCCCAGGGTAGAGGTAAAGTCTATGTACACACTACCTTTCCCAGAGCCCACTAGTGAGATTATACTGGGTTGTTTTTGTTATTTTCTTTGACTACCAAATTCTAGGAGTAGGTAAAGACTCACCATCTAACACTATTTACCAAAAGTTTGTAAGCAACTACCTATTATTGACCTTACATTTTTCTTTGTTATGACTTATGCTCGTACGGTAGAATTAAATTCTTTTCGTACATATATAAACTGTTTAATCCCTTGTTAAGATTCTTGGCTCCGCCACGATCTTAAAGAACTTTCACTTTTGAACCTGAGTATAATTCAAGTGAAAAGAGTCTATCGAGATTCAAGATTCTAAATTAACCTCTCGAAATATTTCAGTATCTCTTACATAAGAGATGCTAAAGACAAACCCAAAATATTTCTATGAAGATAAAAGATATACCTTTAGGGAGACAGAAAAAGTCGTGACTAATTTGAAATTGGACTTGAATGTTTTTGAATAATGCTTGAAACTATAAGATTCTGACATATGCAAGTTTCTAGTATCCGGGCTAGCTTACGTGTATCTCAACTAATTTTACAGAATATCTGTTAGCTCTCATTATCAAAATTATCCGATAATTTTGTCTACCAAAACTTGGACAGGAGTTTTCTATGACTTCCTCACCAACGTCTTCACAGACAAAAGGAACAATTTTCAAGCACCAACATATAACTTAATCCGTCCGTCAATAGAGTATCTAATTTTTTATGATTGTTTCATCATTGAACCACTAATTGCGGCATTGAATTANCTAATTAAGTAGCTAGATTAGCCCATGCGTTTGAGCGGTTCGATTTAATGATGTTGTGAACACCTAATTTTTGACCACACTCGAGTTCTATACTATTTTAGTGTAAATATTTTTTCTAGGTCTAATCCTGATATTTTAAACTTTTATCTTCTTTTTAATAGGTCTTATTTGAGAAAAGTTAAGAATTACAAAAAAAATATTCACATGCTTATAGTATAAATCTTATTCCTATTTATAAAGAGAAAAAGAAAATTTACAAAAAATATATGATTTCTTTAAATCAGATTTATAATAAATAAGTTAGCTTAGCTTTAGTATATTTTGGGTGTCATTTAAATTATAGTGTAAATATTTAGTTTGCCTATATTATTTTAGTCTAAAAATTAGGTAGTTAATTTTTCTTATCTTTATATTTTATCTTTTAAAGAAAAACAAAAAGGAAAAGACGAAGAAAAAAAAACCAAAAGATTAACTTATACCTAATCTAACTAATCACTACCTACACACACACCACTTCACACACGTCTCACCCCCACTCCCTCACATATCCATATCCACACTAGCACACAAACTGAACTCCTCAACTTCACTTCAAAAACCCATGTCCCCTGCTCAAAATTTGAGGAACAAAAAAACTACTAATATTCTTCCCTATAAAGAGAAAAACGGATACTGAGCGGGG